GGCGTCAACGCAAACGGCTCGCGCGAAAGTGACGTATATGTATATATCGATGTATCAAACTGAATAATATTCTCGGTTAACATTGGGCGAGTAGCGTAAAATAATGCTCAACTGGAAGCTCATTTCGACGCGCTTCAACGGGGGCAGCAAGGGCAGAGGTACACGAAGTATTATATGCTTGGTCAATGTTTCGTTCAATCGTGGGAACATCGTCGATTAAAAAACACGATGGAGTAAGTCAGTCAGCTAGCTAGTCGATATTAAGGTAAATAGAGATATACATACGTAAGCTATACATGTATCGCAAAAATAGAGATCGGAGTCAAATGAAAAACAACGTGTCGGATTATTGCGTATGATTGTCAAACGAGTAACGATCGTTCAACACGTCAGCCTGCTGCCTCCGAGCGCGTGTTAGAACAGGTATCTTAACAATCTGTGTATTAAACTATTGTTTAAGTCTTGTAACCTTACCTCATGTACATCACAGGCCACGAGGATGTTTTCGAAGTAGAAAGCACGTCTCTCTCTTTCTCTCTCTCTCTCTCTCTCTCTTTTTCTTCTCGTTCTCTCTCTTACTTATCGCACGTCACTTTCCCAGCGAGAGGTCTGCGATTCAAAACTGGCGGATTACACGAGTATTTCTCAATAATTTTTGCTATTTCACGAAACGGTAGCCATTGCATTCCCTTCAGCTGTTTTACAGTTACTATTTGGTATGATCGCTCTTGTAGCAGGAACTATTTATAGTGATGATACGAGAGTTGTGTGTCTCGCCCACCAGCGAAAGTCTCCGTATCGAAGCACCTTGTTGCATTTGTTTATTAGCCGGGACGTGGATTGCTTTTCGGTCAAGTTGTCCCAAGCACGTGAACAGGGGAACGAGCACCAGAAAATACATCATCGATGACTGCTTTTCTCTCGAGCTGTCTCTGGACGAGTCACTAATTTAATCAAGAAAGAAGATAACAAGTCAAGGAGAAAACGAGACGGTTTCGCGAGAGAGAATTTCGCCGGCACGCTTGACTGAGTCTGGCGTTTCGCGATTGACGGACAAAGGAAAGCGACGTCGATATTTTTGCTGACGGAGAAAGACGGACAAAGGAGGTCGCAGGAGAAACATAGAAAAGAGGAAGAATGGGTAGCGATGACAGCGGTGGGTTATAAGCGTGAACCGGGCAGGATGGAACGTCCGTCGAGCTTACACCCCGGAAACTGTAAATGGTGTGATAGTCAGTCTTGTGAGGAGAGAACAATTATCGCGGGAAAATCGGGGGCACGCGGCGTGTTCTTCTGTTCGTTTATATTGTAAGTATATTGACGTGTCTCGTGTGCGTGTGTTGTCGAGAAATCGTTAAAAGGGATGGTTGCTTTAGATCGGACATCTACGCGTCCGTGGTCCTTCAACGAAGACAATAATCGGTGTGTGTGACCGCGCTATGATATCACGCGTAAAACATTCTCTTCTAATCCGAACCGTTTTGCTGTAGTAGCGCGGGCGCCGACTGTGGCGGTTGCGGCTGCAGCGATTCGTGATGATGATGATGATGATGATGGTGGTGATCGATTGGTGACGGCGATCGACTGCTCCGTGCGGTGGAGAGATCACCGGCACTGCCACTAGCACCGCCACCGCCGCCGCCGCTACCGCCGCCGCCGCCGCTGTTGCCGCTGCTGCCGCCAGGATTGGCCGGAGGTTCGAAAGCCTTTTGTTCGCTCGGTGGAAGTAAATGCACCATACTAACCGGCACTGGGAACGCAGCTGCGGCAAAGTCAGGAAAGAAACCCTGTGGTAGATTACCGCCGAGCAACGAATGATGAGGAAATCCACCGTCGTCGCCCGGATGCGGTGGTAGACCGGCGAGTGGATGGGTCATTTGCGTCGGCGGCTGGACGGCCTTAACGTTGTTGTTTAGCGAATTCATTACTACTTCGCCCGTCGTCGCGCCTGTGCAGTCCCTCCTCAATTGCTCGAGTTTCAAACTTTTCCCGTATTTCCCTCGCACGTACATCAATAGACTGTTGTACGGTATACCGAAGATCCTGCTTGCTTGGGACGTGGTCATTTTCTTGTTCCAAACGTGTTGCAGCGCTTCGGTCAGTTCCGCATTCGTCCAAGACCTAGGAGGTCCACCTCTGGGTGCACTGTGTTGACCTTTCGGCCTCCCTACAGGCAAACCCCGACTAGTGTGGTCTCCCCATCTGCGTGGCGCGTCACCGTCGCCTCTGTGTTTCTTTGGCTTTTTCCCCGAATGGTGACCGCTCAGACCCGCCGTACCAAAAAGCCCGTGCAGCGTTTCCGGTTTAAAACTATCGTGAAGATCTGCTAAAAGAGATCCTCTCTCGAGAGCACCTGCATGAGGAAACAGTCCACCGCCTAAAGATGCAACACCGTCCAACGGGAACATCGTCGTGACGGAACTTCGCCGCACTGTCAGCGGAGGTTCTTGCTGTTGTTGTTGTTGTTGCTGTTGTTGCTGCTGCTGCTGTTGAAACGGATGAGTTCTGTTAGGCCCGTGCGGACTGCCATCCCGCGGATGATGACCCTGAGATGAATGTGGCAGTTGGCTTTGTGGATGATTCGGTAACCACTGGGCCGCTAATTGGCCCAGACTCGTCAGGTACTCGCTATGATGATGCGGCGGCGTTAGCGATAAAGCCGACATGTTTGGCAAACCTACCGCGGCTGCCGCCGCCGCTGCTGCCGCAGCAGAGGGGATATCTTGAAGGGAACCGTCAGGGTGCAGCAGACTTGTCCCGGTTAACGGTGATCCCCTTGGACTACTCGCCGCTTCACTGCTCTCCGCTTTTACGTTGTGTTGTTCAGCTCCGCTCGGCGACGAGCATCTTTTCATCGAAAGGTTCTCCGCAATATCTTCCTGCTGTTGTTGGTTCTGAAGTGAGCTCGAAGTGGACAACTGTTGGTGATGTTGTTGTTGTTGTTGCTGTTGTGGCTGTTGATGACTACTGGTCAGGTTCAAACCACTGGCTAACGGACTAAGACTCAGCGGTGGATGAGGCCGACTAAGATCTTGCGGTACTAACTCACCGGATCTCCTTCGAGGGCGTGCCTGTTTTCGCCGAGGTAGAAGAGGCGATCCACAACTCTCACGCAACTCACGCATTCCAAAGTTCAAATGGCCCATATGCGGTAACCTATCACGGTGGTCCCTCGCAGGATGAAAAACAGTGGGCGTCGTTACCGGCGCTGGTTCTCGCGTGGACGGCGGCGCCGTGCTTTCCGACGCGTTGTCATCCTCCTCCGGAGTTTCTTGCCTGGCGCCTTCGGGTGTCGACGGCTCGCCTAGGAGAAGATCGGCAGTCGGTGTTTCCGGCGGTGACGTTGGCCTCGGTTCCGATGAGGTTAATCCACGCACTTGTAGACTTTCCGCCGCTCTCATCAGTCCTGGAAGTTCCTCGCGGCCGACTCTCACCTCGCCACGGTACATAAAGTCGATCAGCGCCGCTATTTCGTGACCGGGATAGTCCTTTAGCACAATCACCGGATGTTTGCAAGGGTGCTCCGCAAATATCCTTTCGAAGAATGGGCTGCAATTCAAACGTTTCATTTTACTTCGTCATTTAATTAACGTCGAGGTTCAGTTGATCGCTAAAACTCTTTTAACCAAAGGATATTTAGTATTTCCATAAACTGTTATCAAACTGTTTCTATGAACTGTTACGAAAGGCAATTATTAAAGTATATAACATTGCGAAAGTTATCTCCGTAGTATTTGTCAGCACTTAGTGCTGTTAGTATCTAGATTTTATAGAAATAAATTAAAATCCAATTTTATGCAAATAATTAAAAAAAAATGCAATCAACAATATGTTAAACGAAATATGTTGAATGAAAATGAAAATTAATAAAAGTTGAGATAAGATATAGAATAGCAAAAATTATAGTATTCTATAGAAAATTGTATTTTTTTTATATCTGGTAAAGTTAATTATCGCAAAACTGTTTCTGTTGATATTCTGCTTCAAATATTTCTCCTGAATTTTTTCGCAATGTTAAAGTAACTTGACAATTTTTAATTTTTAATTCTTGATTGTTTTTTCAACTTTCTGTTTTTTTTTT